GAGGGGGAAGGGGGCCCAGCATGCTTGGCGACGAACCCGGAAGTGGACCAGATGTACTTCCGGTACGCTTCTGGGTCTGCCGCCAAGCTTATGGGAGGGGGGGACCCTGCGCCCTGCCCCCTGGCTTGGCAATCAGCCATGGGGGGGCCACTTGCCAAGCCAGGGTGGGACGGGGGGGATGCCAGGCCCCAGCGTGCTCCCCATTAGACCCAGAAGTGGACCGGAAGTGCTTCTAGTCCACTCCTGGGTCTGCTGCCGAGAGCACTGGGGAGCCCCCCGCACTCCTGTGGGACACTGCATCTGCTCCAGCATCTTGGCATTCATGAGCCACCTGGTACTTTGAGGTATGTAGAAAAAAATATTTAAACCTGTGTCTATGTCCGAATCATTGAATCTCTCCGAATCAATTTGGAGAGATTAAAGGGTCTCCTGATTCAATTCGGATTTGGAGATTTGGCCACTGAATCAGGCCAAATCTTCACCAAATCACATTGGGGACCGAAGCTTCACCCAGCCCTACTGCAGTGATATTCCTTCATCTGTTTTATTTATTATTATTTTGACTAATTTTTATTTGGCAGATGACTTATTGAATGTTGGGGAAATCTGTGGTAAGCACCTGTTCGTAGCTGCTCTAAGCTACAGTAAAATCTCTTTGCTCTGTTTTGTACAGACCTTATTTACCAGAGACTTTTAAGAAAAGAGTCTTAACAAGAAACAAAGCAACAAAAATGTTTCGTATGGTTGTGTTGGTTCATTCTAGATTTGTAGAAACTTATCAACTTTTTGATGCTTTGTTTTTTGCTGGAAGATAATACTTACATAACCTACAAAAAACAAGAGAAGTCTCAAAGCTCATTTCTTCATAAAGGCTTCTTTGAGAACTCGGCGTACTTTCAGTTCTCTTAATAATTTTATGTATAGTGCTACAAGAAGAGAGATTTTAAAACAAAGTGATGACAAAGGAGATATATTAATCCACATTTATATCTACAAGGAAGTTAACACAAGAAAACTAAACTTCTGCTCACAGGTACTATAAATTAGAAATAAAAGGATTAAAATGCTTTTGTTAGTGGTAGTATCTACAATACACATCACTGCCAGCAGCAGTGTGTACTCAGGAAAAATTACTTCCCGTGCCAGCAGGTTACATGAGCCATAAAGATCTTCTTTTTTTCCCCCCCTCCCCCGTCTTAAATCTATTTTGGACTCAAATTAGTCACATACTCACAAAAGCAAGAGCATGCAGAAAAAGCTGTCAAGCAAAATTCAGTTAATGCACACTATTTTTCAGGGTTAATATGCAACATTAAATTGCATATGTGCCCTGAAAAATCCCTCCGTGCATGGATGAATTTCACCTTCTATTCTTAAGTTACTCAGCTGGGCCTAGGTATAGTAGCATGTTAACAGACTTTTCATAATAGGCTAGAATGATACATAATATATTTTACAGACTAGAGTATGATGTGGGTGAGAAACTAGGCAAAAGGGCTGTTTCTGTGGTTGCATGACAGGGAAGGAGACTCACTCAGATTGTCAAGTACTGACTATGATCTAGAGACAGAAGTTGGGCAAATGACTGTTTGTAAGGGAAACTGGACAACTGAACATTGTAGTTGATCTTTTATTCCTAATAGTCTCTCCTTTTAACTTAGAGGCAGCAGTTTCCAATTAGCTGACAAAGGGGCAATAAGATGTGGCCTCTTGATTCAGAATAAAGATAACTGCAGTGTGAATTACAAATATCTAGATCCCAGTGAAGTGAGGTATAGGCAATGTGATTATGCCAAAAACTGAAGCCCTTATTTTTGATAGTTTAGTTATTCCCTTGAGGCCACAGCAAGTGGTTCAGGAATTATACCCTTTCCCTGCTTTTTCACTTAAAACCTTAATGACATGGGTATACGGTAGTCCACAAAATATTCTGAGGGCTGAAAGCAGTCCGCTGGTCCAGAAAGTTTGGAACGTGTTGCCAGAGTAGACAACAATTAACAATTATGTTGGGCAACTTCTTGCCCACCAGGAAAACAGAAGGCATAGAAAGTGAAGAGTCCTGAGATGTCTCTGAAGTGGATGCCATCACTTCATTCCCTGAAATACATTATGCTGCATATTTCTTTGAAGAACTACCAGTTTCTGCAGAAACGTAGCTGCCTTAATCTTAGAGTGCATCAATGTGCTAAGATTTGTAATATTTGATGCTTTCAACAGAAACTAAACACCTTAAACATTTAAAAGATAAAAATTTCAGGCACAGAAAAAAGTCAAATGAAGGAAACTAATAAAGAGGCTAGCTTGAATAACTTCACTTCTTCAGATTATTTTCTTTGGGTCCAAGATAAATGCAGAAGGGTATCTGCTGAGAGGTCAGCAGTTCAGATTTCTGAAATGAAAAACAGAAAAAAACCCATCAACAAATTAATTGCATGGATTCACAAGTTCCTTTTACAATGGGAGTGAAATTTCTTCCTGAATCGTGTGCACAGTAAAAGGAAGCCACACTGGCCGCACTCCCAGCATATACTCTTCATCTGGCCACCAGGGATTGTATTTTTGTTAAAAGCCTACTCGTAGGGGAAGAGACATTTACTATTTAAGTGATCTATTAAGGCTAATGCAAATGGACAGATATTTTTAGGAAAGGCAATAAGTGCAAATGGTCAAATCAGATGCATAAATATCCAAAGAACTATCTCCAGCATCCAGAAGCATCTAACAAGACAGGGGTAGAAAACCAAAGGTCTAGGTACAACAGTGATGGATACATGCTTATGTATGAACACATGCAGGTGAGAGCATGCTGCTAGAGCCTTGTGCAGGAGTGGGCTTGTATGTAGCAGCCTCCCTCTCTCTCGGTTTCATCCTCTACTTGAGATTCCTTAAATTGTTTTGCCTGCATTGCAGAAAATGAACTGAAACGTACGTTAAAATTTCCTTGACAGTTTATGCAATAGATCTAAATCCAGGGTGTTTTACGATTGTGGCTTTTTTTTTTTCCTTTTTGCTCTCAGCATTTGAGATTTCCATTTGACAGAAGGCAGATGGTTAAAAACTGCAGCTGAGACCACAGAAAATTTAGGCTCAGACTCTCACTTCCATCAAGAGGATAGCCATTTTTTTAAATTGCCTCATTTGGGCCAGAAGTTTTGGATTTTGTGTTTGTTGAAGGAACTGATGAAAAAAAGTTATTGCATAAATGTCACGTGGAAGTCTGTCAGCAGAGTCAGCTTGAGTTGCACAAAACCAGGCACTAAAAAAGTTGTCTGTGTAAAATCATTGTAGCTTTGTCTCATTTAGATGGGGAAGGGGTGAGAGGGAGAAAGCTGGCTGGGGGTAGAGGTAGGGGAGGAATTTCCTCTTACAGGTTCAAGGGGATAATGCACAATAGCTGATGCAGAAACTAGCTTGGCACATAAATGCTGTCCGAAGCAGAGTGGGCATATGATGCATGGAAACAGATGTCCCTTAAACTCTAACAGCTGCAAGACTCCATAAACTGTTTATTGTTGAGCTTTGTAGCTGTGGCAGAGTACAGCAACCATGTTCAAGGCTGTGAAACCAGTATGTCCCAAGAACCAGTGTTGAGTCAAACTGAATCAGAAGCTGGAAAATGTAGGAGATATCAATCAGCAAGTAGTTGGATGGAACAAGCACTTAACACCTACGTTTTATGACATGCACTAGTCATTGTCATATTTATGAACAGATTTTAAGGTGCTGGTTATAATCTATAAAAGCCCTAAATAGCCTGGAATGAGTCTATGCCCAAGATTGTCCAATGCTATCAAGAGAAACATTTACAATGGCTTTTGCTCCTGATTACAAGAAAATGCTGCTGACTGAGCTCTGGATTCTGGATACCAATCTACTAGTTCAAAGTAGTCTGGACTTAATGTCCTTTAAGGTATGCTTCATGGCTAGGGTGACTATATGTCCCAGATTGGCTGGGACAGTCCCAGTTTTTTGAAGCATTGGAGAAAATTGAAGCAAAAGTCCTGGATTGGTGTGAACCTGGCTCACGTGCCCAGCTCCTGACTCAGGACCTGGGCACATACGGGCGGGTTCCTACCAATCCAGGACCATTGCTTCAATTTTCTCCAGGGATCCCAGCCAGTGGGCTGCTGCCTGGTACAGACTCTGCTGGGCTGCAAGTGGAGCTGCTTGCACAGTAGAGTGGAAGTGGGGGAGGGAAGGGTTGGGGTGGAGGGGGGGTGTGCCTGTAGGCTGCACTGTCCTGCCCAGCCCTATTCCTGGGAAGTGTGTATGCATCCTGTCCTGCCTAGCCTCAGTCCTAGACTGCTGCTCCTAGGAGCTGTGGGGTCAGGGGACGGGGTGTGGTGTGTGTGCGTGCTACACTGTCTTGCCTGACCTCCTCCTGAAGCCTTCAGGGGGTGGGGGGCAATGCATGCATGCTGGCATATGCCAAAGATTTCCCTGAAATTTATTATGGTCACCCTATTCATGGCCAAGTTTTCACCAGATAATTGAGCAGAACCATAGAGAATGAGAGAAAAATAGTGATTGATAGAGGCTGGCTAGTTCTTGCTATCATATGCCTGGCCCTTGTTGTTTATAATAAAGTAAAAATACATTCACTTAAGCTAAAAATTTATATACCTGATTTTCAGATCCCCCCTGATTTTGGGGGATGTGTTGGAGGGCAGGGAGAAAGGAGGCAATGGTTTTCTCCTGTTTCTTTTTTAACTCTGTACAATCAGCTGGAGTTGCTTTTAAGAACAGAGCTAAAGAAAAGTAGGTAGTTTTCAGCTGTCCATTTGAAGAGCTGTAGTGCCTACAACCTAAACCAGGGATTTCTATTTTCTATGGGGAAGTAATCCTGTGGCACGATGTGCCTTGTGCTATCCCTATGAAAGTTCACCTAGCTTTGATGAAGTTCTAAAGATATCCATGATCTGCAGCAGCAGGTGTTTACCAAGTTATCCAGTCCCTGAATATTCAACCTGCTCTGAGCATGCTTCAAGCTCTTATTCAACTTTTAAGATAGAGGAGGGCAAGACTAAAGAAGCTATAAAGTTCCCTCTAGAGCACAAGGTGTGCTGAGCTGGGTTCCAGATGGTGACCATTATTTCTAATGACAGTCTTAGCTCTTTCCCTAAGTGGTGTTAACTTTATGCAGTTCATGGCCCCAACAGCAGAACAAGCCTCATGACCCTACCCTAAGAAACTAATAACTACCATTTTCCCCACCCTTCATTCCTTCCGTTTTTCAGATGTTGTAGCTAAAATCACGGAGCAGAAGGTTTCTGGCAGAGCTGGGACAATTGTAGTATGACAGATCAATCCAATTGGCAACACTGCATTTCAAAATGAATCACAAATATAGTAGCAGAAAGGTGTCCTGTTCTTTTCCTCTACCCCACTGCACTGAGAGGCAGGATGAAGTATGCCTAGTTCACCTCTGGCAGATGTTTGTCTAACCTGTTCTTAAGAACCTCCAAAGAAAGAGACTCCAGAACTTTTCCCAGGAAATGTGTTTCAGCTTCTAATATTTAGTTTTTTCCCCCCGTATCCATTATCATCCTAGTATACTCTTTGCAGCAAATTAAAGTGACTTTTTGCTTCCCCCCCACTACAGTTTCCATGAAGAACCTTGATCACTGTCCACTTTATAACAAGCTTAATATATACAATATATTTGAAGACTGCTGAATGACCCTCCACTCAGTCTCTCTTGTTTCTAAAGCAGGACTGTCCAACTGGGCTGCATCTAGTTTACAAAGGGTTAAAGCAGGGCCCACAAAATCCTGCCAGTCACTACTCCCATCATTGCTTCTGTTTCTGTTTCTGCTTCTGCCCTGGTGGCTAGGATCTTCAGGGCAGAGCAGGGCTGGATCTGGCCTGGTAAACTAGCTGGTCAGGCAGAAGGAGGGGGCTTGTGCTGCCCATAGCAGGAAGGCTCTTGAGAGCCCATGTGCTATATGGCCACTGTCATGTGAGGCCCCCACCTGCTATGAAATTGGACAGTGCTATTGCAGAAAAAATGAGCCCAATTACTTTAGTCTTTCCTCATCATTGTGATTTCCAAGCTTCTTATCATTATTATTACTCTCCTGTCTGTATCTTAAAGTCTGCTGCCTGAACCAGACATGCTTTACCAGCTTAGTCCTTCCCAGTGCCAGCAGATAGGAATGAGTGCCTGCTCTGTCTTGCATACAACATTCCTATTAATTTGTAATTCCAGAAGGAGACATAATGAACATATTCTCTGAATGGCTGTGCCCCTGGTAATTACTAGAGCACTATCCCTTTCAGAGTCAGGAATACAACCTTACATTTCTGATTCCCAACATTCTTTGCTATCTAGCAAAAAGCTGTTTAAGCCAGTGACAATGTGATGCATCCGCTTCTAGTGGGAAGTCCAAAAAGAGGACAGCAACCTACTACTACTCCTTCAGCTAAAGTGGCAGAGAACTTCACTGTCGTTCTAAAAGTCAATGGGCTTTTATACACGTGCTGTGGGAGATGTGCATGGGGCGGGACACCTTAATTAAAAGCTCCCGGAGTGTAAAAGCTGAGCTACTTAAAAGCTCCTGGAGTGTCATGTGCTTCAGCATCCCTGCACTGAAAAATAGTGGCAGGCACTTTGAACTAAAGCTCATCAAACAAGCTTTAGTTTAAAGCATCCTACTGCCATTTTTCAGCACAGGGATGCTGATGCAAATGATGCTGAAGGCTGCTGGAGTGTGTAAATTTTCACACTCCAGCAGACACGATTAATTGAATCTGCTCTGACATGCTGGAATTACAGTGCATCAGAGCAGGCTCCCTGCATGTGTATAGGAGCCCTTTGATTCTAACTCCGCTGGTGACCACAGCAGACATTCAAGAAGATTTTAAAGCATGGAGTTCAGGTGTGGTCCTTTTGAATGCATACCTTATGGTACAGTATTTAAATTACGCAGTCATGTGCTGTTTGTCCCTGCCTATAAAACAGACTGAATGAGGGAGAGAGTTCTGAAATAGAAGGATATTTGTAGTGTCTTAGACCCAGGAGACTTCTCTTGGCTCCTGTTTCTGGCTCTTGCAGAATAGAAATCTCAACTATCCAGGCACAGTATGCAAGCACAGAAGGCCTGAATTTAGCTTGCACTATCTTAACAACCCAAGTGTACTTTCAGTACAGCTTCTACACGCAATGTTTTGAACCCCTATTTTGTAAAAAGGATGACACCAAAATGGATGCACTGACTACAACTTTTATAGCTTGTAAGGCTATATATGAGTGTTCTCTATTGCTAAAAATGAAATACATTGATACATTCTTAGAGATTATGACAAGAATGGATCATGGAATCCCTGATACCCTGTTTATAGAACAGACCCTTGCATTCCACAGTTGCCCCTTTTGTCAACTCAATAACTTCTTTAGCTAGGCAGATATTCAAATGCATTCCTTGGTCTTAACATAAAGCTACAGAGAGAGAGAATCCACCATTTCCTTTGATAGTGTATTCCAGTGTTACTTGTCTTTTTGTTAGAAATTTGCATTTTGTTCCCAAGTTTGGCTTCATCTTTCGCCTTTGGTTCTTGCCACATTCTTTTTTTCTAGATTACAAGTTCTTTAGTGCCTGGCATTCTCCCCCCTGGTCCTGAGTTACTTACCAAGTGACCTCTCCCTCCCTATTTTTGCTACACAAAACAGATTGTCCTCTTTAAGGTTCTTATTTTAAGTAATTTTCTCCAGGACTTGAATTACTCTGTGACTTTATTTTTTATAATACATAAGGTTTCTTTAAAAAAATACACACACATTGTTATAGAGAGTGGTTCTAGAGTTCACTCAATTGATAGAAGGAAGCATATGAGATTATCTGGAGTACTATTAGTACAATTTACCTAGGAAAAACATCTGAGTCACACAATGGAAGCCTCCATGATCAGAGGTGATTTTGTAAAGGACAGGAGCCAAGGCCAGGGATTAAAGAAAGCCAACAATGTAAAACTGACTTGGAGAGTGGGAGACAGATACAGCACACAACCCAAAGGGACACAGATCTTCATGTCTGACCCTCTTGATGACATGGACTCTGGTTTGGTTTTGGTTTGGTTTGGTTTGGTTTAGCCATTCTGATGCAAGGTCTCCACTTGTACTGCAGCTGACTGATAAACCATAGCTTTTTAAGACAAGATGCCTTCACTTCTATTTGCACGCCTTGCCTTTCAAGTCTCCATCAGGAGCTGAGCATATTGGAGATGGTGAGGGGTATGGTGATCTAAAGGTCTGATCTCAGTCCAAAAAGCCTTTCTTAAATTGCAAGGGGTATCTTGCAAGACTGCAGAAGGTTTAGGAGTCCCAAACAAGAATATCTGTGGTATGTGGGTTGGGCTGCCTATAACTGAAAAGAAGTGTATTCGGCAGGGGAGGGCAGGGAGGGGGAATTCATGACACTCATGAAAGCCAGAGGACACCTTAGAGGAAACTTAGGGTGTGATCATGCTAGTAACTTGGATGAAGCTTGAGTCTTTTTGTGTTAACTGACTAGGATAGGAAAAAATTCCATTTGCATTAGATTGCTGACCTGCCTAATAAAAAAGCTTTTGAGAAAGGGCAGGGAAGCACAGCTTTACTGCCTCTCCTGGCACCATTGGCACTAAACATAGAGAATGTCTCTTCCTGAGAAATCATCTTTACATTTTCTACAGAGGGGATATAGAAAAGGCCTCTGTAGTAGGCTAAGTCTCTGCTTTCACTTCAAATTATAAATGTTAATACATCATAAATTATAATCCCTCAAATCAACTGTTTTCAAATTAATGTGAAGCATGTGCTTGGTTTTTATAGAGAGTATATGCATAAGGTTCAAACTCTGAAAATTGATTATTTTTAAAAAAGCCTGGGTGAGGAGTGGGTGGCCTGTTACACATATGGAGAGGGCAACTGGCCTGCAGTAGGAAAGAATTTGAAAGGGCCATAACTCACCTTTCTGTCACCTACTGTTTTGAGGATGTCTCTGTTGCAGGCTTCTGTACTCCAAACGCAGTGATAAAAATATTCACAACTACTATAATGAACACCAGTCCAGTTGCAACGTTATTGAGAGCATCCAGCTTGTTGTGTTTTGCAGGGTTGTTAAGGTCATATTTTACTTTAAAGAAAAACAACAAAAATATTCTTACACTGAAACCATGCTTACAGACAGAGTGAAAAGCTTCTTTACTATTCTGATATAAATATAAGTATTTCTCTTTTACCACCATACTAAGTGTCACTCACTTGAACTGTGCAAAAAGAGAATTTAGCACTGCAACCAATATTGCGGAGCCTAAGAAGCCTAGGAGCCCATCTTCACTCACTAGAAGCATGTAATATCCACTAACTCCAAGAGCCAAATTCAGTGGCCAATGGCAAGCAGCAACAGTGTGGACAGTGTTGGCGGCACCCTTTTGCAGGGCATGCACCAACATGTGTATGGGCTGCACGTACACCTGCATGCACCCCCATGCGTCACCCCTGCTTCTTCCAAAGAGAAATTCTGTTTTGTAAATGTAAAGCAAACTTGAAATTCACTTTATTTACACTTCTAAAAACCTGTTTATCAGAAGCATACCAATAAGAGAGAATTTCTCATGGCCAATAGGGCTGCATATCTTCAACAAAAAAACCTCACCTCACTTTTAGATTTGTGTATGTAAGCCTTTTATCCCCTGGTGTACCCACCCATTGCTTCTCATTTTCTGTAAACAAGCAAGAGCTTTACACAGCACCAACGATATAAAAACTTCTTTCCTTTGTTTGCTTGCAGCTTTTTCTTAGTCGTACTATTGATAGGAGGGATATATAGACAAACATGGGAGGTAACACAGGCTTGTTGTAAGCTTCATTTTCCCCAAACTGTGAAAATGTACAGTGAATGATATTAAGTACCTGAGTGTGTGTGTATAGGACTGCAGGAAAGTTGGAGGGATGACTCAGCATGGCTGGAAAGGTAGATTTCCTCTGACAGTGTCTACCATAAAGGAAGAGCATTGTAATTTACAGCCTAATGCAATCTTATGGCAAGTGGTAAAAATGCTGTCACTTATTTCAGTGAGTTTTGGATTAGACTCTCAAAAAGAAGATTACTGGAGACATCTACCAATTTTTATTCTTACAAAGTTATGTAAGTTATAAGCATCAGATTTGGTGAGCAAAATCTTATATCTAACAAGCTCTGGTAGTATTCTAAAGGCTGGAGGTCTCCACAGCTGTGCTCATGGATGTGTGCTCTGGTGCACTAATTGGATGGTTATTTTACTAAGCATAATGACCAACACTAAAGAACTCCTGACCTATTTGTGATTGCTGTAACACCAGGTGCAGTTTAACCTTTGTGCATACTGGCATAGTCCTGGCCACCTCAGTTTCAAGGCCTTCTAGGCACCTATTCCACATTTTGCAGCTTTGCTCACAGAAGCAGTGCATTGTGAGAGACCTCATAAGCCAGCCAAAGCAATTGAGCAGCTGTGAAAGGACTCTTTGAACCACACTAGCTACTCTGCATTCCACGCTGGCTAAAGTCTAAACAGTTTGGATTAAAGCCATATTCAGGCCTGAAAATTCATTTGGATACCATGCCTGCACTCTGTTCTGTACATAGATGTTTGCCTTCTAACATTTCCAGGATATGGTTGGAGTACATGGTACCTCCAGAAAAGTAAAGCAGAATTCCCATTCTTGTAGTACATAAGAAACAGTCTCCCCAGTTGGCTGCTGGGGGAAATGGGTTAGCAGTGCCTACGTATTACAAAAACACCAGGTTGTACAGAGCTGTTATTTTAAAGATTCATCAAAATTGGGGACTGGAAAATGGGAAAATACAGCTCTGCCTATTAAGGCAGGGTTCAGAGTTTCCAAACAGAATTACAGTAATCTTGTTTTGTTATTATAGTACTAAACATGAAATTAACCTAGAAACCATTCTTAAGTACAGTGAATCTTATGTGTTTTATTATAGTGGGAATGGATTACTATCATTTCATGTAGCCCAAACTATTTCAAAATGCCTCCCCCACACACTTTCTAAGAAGGGCTCATAGTTACCATACCACCTTGAAGGATTAGCATTGAAAACAAATGTCTTCAAAGGAGAAGCCATGTGTAATTTTCCACACATTTTAGTATGGAAATACTATGGAAAGTACTACTATGGAAAATCATATTTCCATACTATTAGTATGGAAATACTAAAATCCACCCAGTCTGAATTTTGTGCCTTAGACAGAAAGTATGGACCTTGAAAGTAGGCAAAAGGCTCAAAGTAGGGTTGCCAACCTTCCAGGATTGCCCTGGAGTCTCCAGGAATAAGATGTAAATCCCCAAGAAACAGCTCCCAGGAGATAAATGATAGAGCTTTCATTAAAATAAATATTAAATGTTGAATCCAATCTATACAGTAGTCCAGTGGGTTTTTAAAATGTAATAGTTATGTGCATTTGCCTTCCTAACATTAAGTCAATGCACTATAATCCATAACTGATATAAACAAGCATGCATTCACATTCGCACTGTGTCACATGTTGGCCTTCCAGAAACTTTCTGAAATAGATACAAACAGAGTTAGCAACTATAGCTCAGAATGACCCAGGCCAGAACTAGGGAATTTTGGGAGTCATTCTCAGTTCTAAAAGATTTAAAAGGCAGTTACAACTAAAAATTAAAGGAAGGGATGCTAAGTGACGTCTTAATTTTAGAGTTCAGTAAAATAGCTCTGGACCTTTCTGTTAAGGTTCTGAAATAAGCCTGAAAAATTGGAGAATAGAATTATGGGAGCAAAGAGAAGGAAAGGAGGAAGCCATGAAGCAGAAGACGCTGGGAAAGGCAATCTGCATACGCAGAACACCTGGGCTAGGGACAGACATTCAAAAAGCCTGAGCCTGAATTGATTCAATCTTTGCAGATTAGTTTAACCTTCAAAGCTTGAACTGATTTGGAGGTGGATAGACATTCCCTTTTCATTCCAGAAATGCAGGCACATGCCTTCAGTGGCTCAGGCTAGGAGCTGGGTGCCACTAAAGCAGCCCTGCTTTCCTTTCGACAGTGCTGAGCTGAGGGGGGTGTGGCCAGGCCCCAGCAGGATGTTCTGATTAGGGAGGGGTTTCCCCCCCACCCCCCTGACCAGCAAGGGAGCCAGCAGAGAGTTGATAACAGAGCATTGAGTTACACAGGGAAATGTTAGCATTTATTATCCCATCAAACAGAAAAAAAAGCCTCTCTTATTAGTTCCAGCTCTTCTTAAACAACTTTTTCCAAGGAAGAGACATTACCAGCTACCTGTTGATTAGCTCCAAAAAGCCCTAAGCCAGTACTGTCCTGTTTGCCTTTGTCCAGTCTCCCACAGCATGGACTATAGCCAGCAACTTCTCCACAAGGAAGACTGATAAAGCCCAGTGCCACTCACTTATCTGAGAGATCACATTCCATGCCCCCCTCAATAATAGGGACCCCCTCTAGGAGTTGCTTCTGCAACTGTGCCCCATGGAAATTTAACAAATAACATTCAGTAAAGTAGCTGTAACTTTAATAGCTCCCTGTGTGAAATCTGCTTCTTGCTTGCCAGATTTCTGTTTTACATATATAGGACTCTTAACTTCAAGAGAAGAGCTTGTAAAAGTGACATAACTAAAAGACTGAATACTAACTGCAAAGAAGCCATAGCTCTCTGAAAATGTTGGCAGGACTCCCACATATTTCAGTGGCTTATGGCGCAAGCACTTCCTGGTGGAGTGTTGATTGTTCCTGAAAACATAGACCCTCCTTTAGCAGCTTTCTAAAGCATATCAGGCCATCTCTTGACAAAATCTTTGGGTGTGTGTTTTTTGTTCTGGCCAGGTGCTTTTCAGGAATGCTACTAGCTTTCTACAAAAACTTGGCAAAGTCTATTTTCATACAAAGTGCTTACACAAACTGGCAAAATTAATGTATTATGAAGTGGCCAAGTGCACTAAGAGTGTCAAAAATATAGATAATGATTTTAAACTTCCAAGATATTTCAGAAGAAGGCTGCCATTCCACTGTTATCCTAGGCTGATGCATAAAAACAAATTCTGGACTCCTGTCCTAGTGCAATTTTTGGTTGATTTTGTTTTTCTTTTTTCTTCTTTATTTACAAAAACAAATACAGAGCCACTAATCAATCATGGTCTTGTTATGGAAATATGCTTGATCCTGTAGCCCATACACACAACTCCTGCAGTCAGGACTATGGGATTAAGTTTGCATGCAGAACACAGCTACCCTGCTAATTTAGGACTTTTGGGATAGGTTTTAGTCTTGTATCTTTAATTGTGTACCTATTTTAAATGTACAATGCTGAAAGAGTGAAATGTTTGTATGGTTTTTAAAATAAATTACTAAAAATGCTGAATTTTTCAGCAGCAGTATAGTACCTGCAACTCAAGCGATAACAGAATGTAGAAGTAGAACAGATTCTGTGTATCTCCATTACTGAATGCTAAATATACTGGGTAAAATGTTGGTTCTAGTGCAGTTGATGGCAAAACTCCTATTAGAGCTGAATGGGGGGTGTGGCAGGGCACTGTGGGTGCCTGCCACTTTAAGGGCCTGGAGCTGGCAGCGGGAGCCCCCAGGAAATGCCAGGCCAATTACCACTGTCAGGGTGCCTTAACCCCTAGCCCCCACAACCAGGTGGGTTACCCCTTGTTGGAGGCTCTGGAAGGTGGACCCCACAGAGAAAGAGTGAGGCCACAAACTCATACCTGTCTGGACTTCCCCTGACTGGTCAATGCTGGGGCCAGGACCAGAAGGGCCGAGGGCCCACCGCGAGGAACACCCAAGAGCTGAGGGCCTGGCGTCCTGACTGGCCTGGAGGTGGGCCAGGGCCAGTAGAGCCAAAGGTCCCGGGGGGACCACACCCAGAAGGGGAAGCAGTTCAGGGAGCTATGCTGCCCAGGATGAAGGTGGAATAGACTGCCTGAAGAGAGGAATCCAGGCAGGGTTCAATTAGTACAATTCAGGGGCCCAGTGTGGGGGCCAGTGATTTTGAGAACATCTGGATGCCATCTGCGAGGCTTGGGCTGTAGTGTATGGGAGGATCAGAGCCACAGATAGTGCCCCCTGGCATCAGGGCAAGAAATGGGCAACCTCCCACTTAATTGACATCTGTTAATTAATTTCCAACAAGGCATGGCAGGTGAGAAGGCGGGCGGTTAGCCCAGAAACAGGTGGGCAGGCCACAGTGAGATCGGCCCTGAGAAGGCCCCTGTTACAGGGGGGTCAGGATTTTGCCTTCTCTTTTTAAATCATTCCCAAAACATTTTGTGTGGTGTTTTATACTTTACTTGAAAAACATTTTTTTCCCTAGCGACTGATAAGTGAACAGCAGTATCAGTAGTAGCATCTCTTTTAACACTATGTAACAGGGTCCATCCCTGTTACTATGGGTGTGGAGAAGCTGGAAAGGCCCCACACCCTGAAAGCATCCTCATCACACTGCAGAGCTGAGGGGACTCACCAGAGGCCCAGGTTCAGGGATGCAGGGAACCTCCCAGCAAGGGAGCTAAACCCAGGTGTGGGGGGCGGGGGGGGAATAAAAGAGCTGAAAGCAGCCTCTGGGTGGCTGCACTGGCAGAGAGCAAGGCTGCCTGAAGTCTGCAGTTACTATGAGCAAGGCTTTTCTTTTTTTTTTTTTTTTTTTGCATAAACCCTGCAGGCGCTC